TGACATACAACCCATTGAGAGTAATGGAAATGGCTGTACAATTATAAGGCAGCTAACGTTTGACTTGGTTTATAACATGTTTCCAATGGTTGCTCAATTTGAAACCATCCTCTCGGTTGAAGTTGTGTCTATGTTTGTATATTTGGATGGCTTCATGGACAAATCTTTGGTAATAACCGGTAGACTTCCTGTAAACAGTGGTGGGAATCAATCTTCAAGTAGGCTCTTTGGGACATTCTGTTTACAGGAAGTCCACCCACACAGATTCCTACTTGAAGGCTGATTCCCACCACCACCCGACTCAAAATAATTCTCTCATCAAAACATTATACCATAAGGCTCATTGTATTTCTGACCAACACCACCTGGCCATTGAATTAAAACATGTACATCTGGCCCTCAAGATGAACGGATATTCTGACCGTACTATCCGCCAAGCTGTTTTTCCCACCATACAGAAACAGCCACCTGGTACTCCGATCAAAATCATCACGTTACCTTACATAGCAGGCGTTACCAAAAATATTTCAAAAATTCTAAACAAACACAAGATCCAGGTCCGGTTCAATACAGTACACAAATCCGTGATCTGATCTCATCCGTAAAGGATGTCATTCCTGACTTACAGTACCCCGGTGTTTACAAATTGAGTTATACCTGTGGTGACTGCTATATCGGGGAGACGAAACGACATATTTCTGACCGAATCCGCGAGCACAAATCAGATTTTAAACACGGCAGAACGAATTCTTCGGCCGTGGCTGACCATTGTTTGAACACAGCGGGTTCTCATGACATTGTTTTCTCCGATACCAAAGTACTATGCAAACCTCCCGGTTATTACCAAAGATTTGTCCATGAAGCCATCCAGATATACAAACATAGACACAACTTCAACCGAGAGGATGGTTTCAAATTGAGCAACCATTGGAAAGATGTTATAAACCAAGTCAAACGTTAGCTGCCTTATAATTGTACAGCCATTTCCATTACTCTCAATGGGTTGTATGTCAAACTTTAGCTGCCTTATAATTGTACAGCCATTTCCATTGCTTTCTAACAAAAATGGGGTTGTAATTGCTTTCGTGCAGCGCGCCATCGCTCCCCCCAAACACCCCCTGCAGCATAACAAAAGGCGGCATAACTCAGCCCTCCCCCCCACCCACGTCCCTTTCTGGCTCCTCCCCCCTCTTAACCTGTATATAATCCCGGTCGTCTCAAGAGCTCCCCACTTGGTACAGCTATTCTGCTGACTGTTCCACCTGAAGATGGAAGCTTGTGTTGCCTCCGAAACGTCGTGATTTACTTTAGTTGTTTTATTTTATTTTACCTATGTGACTTTACCGAAAAAAAAGAGTATAATTTTAATGGTAGGTTTATTTGAACAGTGAGAGACAGAATAACAACAACAAAATCCAGAAAAACGCATGTCAAAAATGTTATAAATTGATTTGCATTTTAATGAGGGAAATAAGTATTTGACTCCTCTGCAAAACATGACTCAGTACTTGGTGGCAAAACCCTTGTTGGCAATCACAGAGGTCAGACGTTTCTTGTAGTTGGCCACCAGGTTTGCACACATCTCAGGAGGGATTTTGTCCCACTCCTCTTTGCAGATCTTCTCCAAGTCATTAAGGTTTCGAGGCTGACGTTTGGCAACTCGAACCTTCAGCTCCTTCCACAGATTTTCTATGGGATTAAGGTCTGGAGACTGGCTAGGCCACTCCAAGACCTTAATGTGCTTCTTCTTGAGCCACTTCTTTGTTGCCTTGGCCGTGTGTTTTGGGTCATTGTCATGCTGGAATACCCATCCACAATCCATTTTCAATGCCCTGGCTGAGGGAAGGAGGTTTTCACCCAAGATTTGACGGTACATGGCCCCGTCCATCGTCCCTTTGATGCGGTGAAGTTGTCCTGTCCCCTTAGCAGAAAAAAACACCCCCAAAACATAATGTTTCCACCTCCATGTTTGACGGTGGATTCTTGGGGTCATAGGCAGCATTCCTCCTCCTCCAAACACGGCGAGTTGAGTTGATTCCAAAGAGCTCCATTTTGGTCTCATCTGGCCACAACACTTTCACCCAGTTGTCCTCTGAATCATTCAGATGCTCATTGGCAAACTTCAGACGGTCATGTATATGTGCTTTCTTGAGCAGGGGGACCTTGTGGGCGCTGCAGGATTTCAGTCCTTCACGGCGTAGTGTTACTAATTGTTTTCTTGGTGACTATGGTCCCAGCTGCCTTGAGATCATTGAAAAGATCCTCCCGTGTAGTTCTTGGATGATTCCTCACCGTTCTCATGATCATTGCAACTCCACGAGGTGAGATTTTGCATGGAGCCCAAGGCCGAGGGAGATTGACAGTTCTTTGTGTTTCTTCCATGTGCGAATAATCGCACCAACTGTTGTCACCTTCTCACCAAGCTGCTTGGCAATGGTCTTGTAGCCCATTCCAGCCTTGTGTAGGTCTACAATCTTGTCCCTGACATCCTTGGAGAGCTCTTTGGTCTTGGCCATGGTGGAGAGTTTGGAATCTGATTGATTGCTTCTGTGGACAGGTGTCTTTTATACAGGTAACAAGCTGAGTGTGCTCCTAATCTCAGCTCGTTACCTGTAAAAAAGACACCTGGGAGCCAGAAATCTTTCTGATTGAGATGGGGTCAAATACTTATTTCCCTCATTAAAATGCAAATCAATTTATAACATTTTTGACATGCGTTTTTCTGGATCTTTTTGTTGTTATTCTGTCTCTCACTGTTCAAATAAACCTACCATTAAAATTATAGACTGATCATTTCTTTGTCAGTGGTCAAACGCACAAAATCAGCAGGGGATCAAATACTTTTTTCCTCACTGTATATATCTGCATTTTTCTGTGATGGCATCAAGAGGCTGCAAGCATCCAGCAGATGCATTTTGCTATATCTGGCCAATTTATCAAGACAAGAGTGAATAAGAACTCTGTGGAAGCATCTGCTAAGATGTGTGAGGCCTACAAGGCATATTTCGGCATACCTGTCGGGGATCAAGACAAACCCTGGGCACCTCATTTCAGCTGCGAGCAATGCAAAAAAACTCTGGAAGGTAAGATGGACAATTGTTGCTTAGAATTTAATGTTATAAAATGTTTAAAAAAAAATTATTGGAAAAGTTTATAAATTTAAAATGTTTAACAATTTTAAATGTTATTGAAAAAATATATTTCAGAAATGTTGGGAGAATCTCTTACACATTAGTCATGGGTGAAATAAATGTTTTTTTAAGGATGGTACAGAGGGCAAAAGATAGCCATGAAGTTCACTATCCCAAGAATTTGGCGGGAACTCACTGACCATTTAGGCAACTGTTACTCCTGCATGATGGACCCTTCAAAACTTCGGACTGGCAAGAATGAACCTGCTATCACGTATCCGGACCTCCCTCTATCCATTGTCCTGGTGCCACACTGCCATGAGCTTCTCGTAACCACTCCTCCCGAGAGAGAGCAGCCGTCTTTAGAAGAGAGCAGCAAGTCAGAGAGCGAGAAAGACGTTGTGGATCCTGGTGACAATTTCAGAAGTGGAGCTGAGGAGAGAAACCCATACTACCCCAACTAAAAAGACCTCAACGACTTTATCAGATATCTTGGTCTCACCAAGTCCAATGCCGAGCTTTTGACGTCGAGGCTCAAGCAGTGGAACTTGTTGCAGATCAGAGGAAGCGTCACCAACCTTTTTGCAGCTTTTTCACCCATCAAGATGGGCTCTGCTTCTGCCACAGTGACCAGTCTGTTCAAGGCAATCGGAATCGCCTGTAATCAGAATGAGTGGTGCCTCTTCATTGACAGCTCATCCAGGAGCCTCAGAGCCGTGCTCCTCCATAATGGTAACAAGTACCCGTCTCTTCCCCTGGCTCACGGTGCACCTCAAAGAGGATTACAACAGCATCAAGACCTTGCTGGACGTCTTGAAGTATGATGAGTACGGCTTGGAGGTCATCAGAGACTTCAAAATGGTGGCATTCCTGATGGGTCTCCAAGGCGTGTTTACCAAGTTTCCCTGCTATCTTTTCCTTTGGGACAGCAGGGGCAGCAAGGTGCACTACCATGGGCGGGACTGGTCACAGTGGACCGAGTTCTCTGAGGGGATGAACAACGTCAAGTGGGAGCCACTGGTGGACCCCCGGAAGGTGCTAATGCCACCACTGCACATCAAATCGGGCCTTATGAAACAATTTGTCAGAGCTGTAGATAAGGAGTCGGCAGCCTTCAAGTACCTTCAAGACTTCTTCCCTAAGCTGTCCGAGGCAAAGGTCAAAGCCAGTGTCTTCGTCGGACCACAGATAAAGAAGATCCTGGAGTGCAATGAATTCCCCAAAAAGCTCACTAATAAGGAGAAAGCGGCTTGGGCAGCTTTTTCGCAGTGGTTCGTGGCTTACTGGGCAATGACAAGGTAGAAAACTCTGTGGAGCTGATTGAGACTCTGGTGAAGAACTACAGCACAATGGGCTGTAGGATGTCCCTCAAAGTCCATATCCTTGATGCTCATCTTGATAAATTCAAGAAGAACATGGGAGCGCACTCATTGGAGCAAGGCGAGCGCTTCTACCAGGATATACTGGACTTTGAACGCCGCTACCAAGGACAGTATAATGAGAACATGATGGGAGACTACATTTGGGGGATGATTCGTGAAAGTGATTTACAGTATAATCGTAAATATCGAAAAACTACTCACTTCTTAATCTGTTGTAGTAATTTTGTATTACTTTAGTATAAATACATGTTTATTTTTATTCATGTTTTTTTTCTGACTTTATGTGAACGAAAAGACACAAATTCGTCCGTTTTCTCATTGAAAATAGGTACATTTCAAAATATCACTGTCCTGGTCACAAAAGCAAAGTTTGTGGGGAATAAAAGCCATTTTCTATACTTTTTAAGCATAAGCAATTACGAAATAACACTTACTACCCAGGAACAAAAATTGTGTTACATAGTGTTGTTCATTTCACACGTTGCAGGACAGGAGCCAAGCCCCCCGGCGTGCCCCCTGCGCAAGCACAAGGCGACACGAAAACCGCGGACACCGTTCACCACCTCCCAGCTGCTCGCCTTGGAACACAAGTTCAGACAGAAGCAGTACCTGTCCATCGCGGAGCGTGCAGAGTTCTCGACCTCGCTCAGCCTCACGGAGACACAGGTGAGAACCTCTCCGGCCACGCCATCAATCGCGGTCCTCGCATTTACATTGCCCACCTTGTTGCGCATCGCTAAGAGTGGCGAAGTAGGAAGGAGGAATCGGCACTCCCTGCGTGGCGGCGCTGGAGCCGAGGTGAAGGCACGTGAGGCTGTTCTCCCGACGGCATGCGTGGAAAGCCCCGGCCGTTCTCGCAACGGAGCCTCTCCAAGTCCCTGTGGGTCTTTCCTGCAGGCTAAACAACACAACTCGGATTTGGCACCGCTCTGAACCCCTGGTGATGATCGTGGTCATTTTACATCATTGAGCGATTAGCCCGTGGGAGGCAACAGGAGAAAACCCCACGCATATTGAGAGGGAAATGTATCCCATCATCTCCTCCTTCCCCTCCCCGGAATGGAAAATGCCCAAGATAAGGATGTCCTCCGAGGAGATGGAGTGATAGAATCAGTTTGTGTCCAGGTGCTGGATGGATTGTTGAATCACAGGATTATGAGAGGTTCCAGCGGCTTGGGGAGGCCTTCATCCAGCATTAAGCATTTGATTATATGGCTTATAATAATATTTTTTTTGATGCAGCTAATATCTTTGCTCGGAGCAAACCTGTAACTTATTGGCGCACGGTGCAAAGCCTTCATCAAACTGTTGTGCGCGACCCCGTGTCGCCCGCAGGTCAAGATCTGGTTCCAGAATCGCCGAGCCAAGGCCAAGCGACTCCAGGAGGCAGAACTCGAGAGATTAAAAATGGCAGCCAAGCCACCTGCGCTGTCGTCGCACTTTGGCCTCCCCACGGCCTTCGGGCCCCTCGGGGCGCCCCTGCCTGCTCACGGCCTCTACCTCACGGCGTCCGGGCTGTTCGCGCGACCCGCGGGCCTCCCCATGGGCCCTATGGGGCTGTACCCGACACCGGTGGCGTACAGCCTCTACCACCACTCGTAGTGCGAATGGTGCAGAGAACGGCGTCATGGTAGCGCCGCTCCGTCGAGGAGCGTGGAGTTAACTTGGCGCCTGGGTGGAGGGTGCCGATACTTTCTGAGCATTGGTTATGAACAATGCTTATGCAAGTCGATCAGTTAATTATGAACGTCGACGTGTGATGAACATTATGGACGTCGATACAATAAGAATGTCAATGCATTGTGAACGTAGAAGGTAGCGGAATAATAACTTTAATCGACAAAAGGTGGAACCTTGAATCATGTTGTCGGATGAATTGCAATCATCACTGAAGTACTGTACTAACGCCGATTAATGACAAGGTCGATTAATTGCGTACCTCAAATTACGACAGTAATTAGTTACGGTTTTCAAAATAAACTATGCCTGAACCGACGACACCCATTAGCCCTGCCCTGACCGTGACCTCTCAGCGGCCCCAGAGACGGCTCAGGGCTGAGCGGCAGGGCCGGGCACACGCGGCCATCGGGAGATGAGAACCCAAACCGCGGAAGTCTAAATGACAGACAATTCCGTCTCCTTCCAATATCCACCTCTTCACATAAACTAGAAACTATTTTGTTTAAGCACGTCTCATCAGCCACACGGTTATAGTTCCGGGAGTGATTGGAGCGGAGAGACTGATGAAGATGCTGATGAGCAGATTGTCGTTCAGTCAGATCGCGACCTCCGAGTCGAGAAGAGTCCAATCGTGGGAAGTCGGATCGTTACCTGACTATCCTTTACCTATGTGCGTTCATCGACCCGGAAAGGTGAAAGACACTCAAAGCAGCACCTGTACTTGCATGGGACACTCCGCCTGTACATAGCATCATTGCTCTCCTGCTGATGAGTCAACTGGAGTCAATGTCAGCTGCAGCTCACGCAGCATGGAGCAGAGGCCGGCATCGCAGTACACGCGGAAGGTTGGCTCAGCTTTCTGCTTTCAATGCGATCTCCATGTGTGTGACTTGAACGATATCGTGAGGGGACATGTCAAGAGTTTTGGTGACGTCACTGAAAGTCCCACTCTCACGTGGGCGAGTGCCGCCGAATGACGCTACTTGGCCAAAAAAGTTAATAAATACAAAAGTACATTCTTGTATAAATTGTACACAAATAGCTATTGTATTGTTAATATGACGTTGTACATATATTGTACGTATGGAATGTGTCGGATGTAATGACGTGCGTGCATTGTACGTCGCCCTCACGTCGCGCTGACCCTGCAGTCACCAAGAGCGTCTGTTCAGCACGTGGTCCGAGAGTTCATTGTTCCGTTGCGCTACGAACCTCTCCGGGACTTTGTAAAGCATTACGACTGCCAACGTTACATTTACAAACATCACTGATAATGGGTAACACATTAAATGTGACCAGGTTTATTCTCAACAGTTATTCGATCGGAAGGTCGCGTATGGTGTGGTAAAGTGTGGGTACACCGAGCTCCTCCAGCATGACTGGTCAATGTCAAAGAGTAGACCAGGTATCTCTCTCGAGAGTTCGCTCGAGTGGAGGTCCTTCGTTCAGCAGTGGTGTGAGCAGCAGCTCCAGGGTCGCATCTCTACCCGCAGCTGTCTCCCCAAAATTGGAAGGAACACAACTCCGCTGTACACGACACGTGGGCCCACTTTCTGAACAAATGAGCGCAGCTCGTCACGAGACACAAAGTCGCCTCTCGCGTGCGGACGACTCGGGAAGAGACTCCAGTCAGTGAAACCTCCTCCTGTGGTGAATGCATCTGCCGCTACTGGGTACACGATTTCAACTTCAAGTTACGACGCTACGTTACAATCAGCGGGACGATATTATTTGTAAAATAAGACCGAGGTTCTTAATTAATTAAAGAATCACCAGGAATGTTAAGCCGAAATTCAGCGACACAAAACTGGAGTTTGGCGTCGTAACTCAAGTGCAGCGCATTTTTCTGCTACCAGGTCGGCTACTTAACCTTACTTCCGCGCATATATAATTATATACACTGACGTGTTTTGAATGCGGAGAAGCATTTACAGATTTACAGAATAAAAGTGTACATCGAAAGAGACTCTGGGTACTGGGGTGTGAAGGTGTTTGATGACGATAATTGACGCCATAATGGAATATATTTACCAAGGAAAGAATGAGTCTTAATACTATTTTTTTAGGATGACCCTGTACGCGTTGGGATGTTTGGTCAATTCAATTAATGAGTGTTTGTCACTCCCGTGAGTATTTGGAACTGCCAAACACTCACGAGAAGTGACCATGGAACATATAGCGACTCAATGCCCGATTCAAAAATACGAAGGAGGCATCACAACGAGTTACTCCGCTACTCCCGATGCAATCATCTGGCTCAACCACCTCAACGTAAAATGTTGGTTGTTGCTCCATATCAACATCAGCCGCACGATGACTCCGCGATCATTCTTGACCATCGGCCACCGTCCCTTTAAGCCACAGCCCATGTTTAGTAGCGGATTGCGTTGTCTTAAACGTGAGTCTGTTCTCTCATTCGTGTACTGTGACACTCGATGTTGAAACCGGTTTAGGGCTTTGCTTGTGTTCAACCCATGCTGATGGGATGCGTAAACAATGATGGATATGTGTTGTACGCCTTCTTCCCATATTTACCCCCAGATGTGGGGCGGTGAATCGTCTGCTTATTCATGTTTCTCTTTATAGAGATTCGGAATGTAGGCAGTAGATAGGAGGGCGGGTGGGGGAGCAATTCATATAAATAATTTTCCACTTCTCTGTGCTCGTGAGCGGTACAGTGGTGGCTGGTAGGCCAACAGCGTTTCATTTCGCGTTTCTTTCACAGCCGCGTTCTTTCCCCTCTCCGACTCGCATCTCCAGAACCTTACAGAGCTCCCCACTCATGCATCACCCCCTCCTCTTGCTCCCCCACCCTACCCACTTCTCCGCCCCTCTGCCTTGTGTTTTCTGAAGGAAAGTCCATGCAGTTTCAGTTACGGTTCTTATATTGCGCGGCCTCCACCCCCACCGAATAAGTGTCTTAATAAGAGCGCCCCAGCCTCCTCTGTCTCCGCTTATAATATTTCCGTCTGCCGACACCAGTGAGTGCGGGCGATTGTTTCACTGGCACCGGGGCGGGTGAGACGCCAGTGGGAGGGGGAGACGCGAGGGGAGGCGGCGGCGGCGAGGGCTCGAGAGAGAGGGAGGGAGACAGAGGGAGGGAGAGATGGTTGGAGCGAGAGTGTTACGCTGGGTATTGCAGACGCGGTGTCAACGCGATTGTGCTATTGCAAGGATGGTCGAACTAGCAGACAAATATAGCTTGACAGATAGACACACGTCGATATACACACGTATTGCCATGGATAGACACGTACAAATATACATGTATTCAGACAAAAAAAGTGAGCTAGCATGGTGTAGCGGTAGCAATTGCAGAGGTCGCAGGTTCGATTCCATTTCCCAGCTCGGCATTTGAAACAATGGAGCAATTTCCCCAAATTCCCCGTGCACTACGATTACTCGGTCGACAGGTCGCGTGCGGTGGGGTAAAGTGTGGCTACTACCACCACTTCCAAGAGGTCTGGTGAAACTGGAAGAGTAGACTAAATACGCTTAAGTTTGATCGAGTGGAGACCCTTCCACCAGCAGTGACGTGAGAAAGTATTTTCAGGGCCGCACCTCTCTCTCTACCTTTTGTTGAAGACAAAACCAACAGACACGAAGAGACCAGCAGACAGAATACGCTCTTTATGATCACACGAGTGTCCTTTGAGATCAAGAGTCGTCTCTGCAAAGGAGACCTGGTTTAATAATGATGATAATGTGTTAATAACGTAGTGCCCTTCATACAGGCAGGCCTCAATGAGTCTCAACAACTCTTTCACGAGGGTCATGCCGAGTACTCTGCATGGACTTTGAGAAGTGGTTTGCTCCGCGTGGGAGGGAACCAGAGGAATAGCACGCTGTTAGCACGGTTGGCTACGTACGGTGCGAAAGAAGTTCAACACAGATATATACGAAATTCCGCGACACAGACGGCTAACCAACTTGCTTTACTGTCATACCCTCATTACCTCGGAGCACAGCGAGTTTTGGGGTGTCTTCACAAATCTTTGCGCAATCCACCAACCCTGGCATTTGGGACTGCGGTTGCTGTGTGTTGAGTGCCTACAATGGATGGCCGTCCTAACATCGAGACGTCTTCGTGGCCCAAGCAGTTCATGCCACGAGCGCACCTCGCCACCGACGCGGTGTCGACCTTCCGCCAGAACCTGCAGCTGCTGCTCAAGAGATACGCAGCGACCTCCAAGAGCTTCCCCGACCGTCTCCTACCGTCTGCTCTTAGACTCACACAGAAACCCATCGACTCTCGACTCACACAGACACCCATCGACTCTCACAGAAACCCATCGACTCACACAGACACCCATCGACTCTCGACTCACACAGACACCAATCGACTCTCACAGACACCCATCGACTCTCACAGACACCCATCGACTCTCGACTCACACAGACACCCATCGATTCTCGACTCACACAGACACCCATCGACTCTCACAGACGCCCATCGACTCACACAAGACACCCATTGACTCACACAGACACCCATCGACTCACACAGAAAACCATCGACTCTCACAGACACCCATCGACTCTCACAGACACCCATCGACTCTCACAGACACCCATCGACTCTCACAGACACCCATCGACTCTCACAGACACCCATCAACTCTCACAGACACCCATCGACTCACACAGACACCCATCGACCCTCACAGACACCCATCGACTCACACAGACACCCATCGACTCTCACAGACACCCATCGACTCTCACAGACACCCATCGACTCGCACAGACACCCATCGACTCTCACAGACACCCATCGACTCTCGACTCACACAGACACCCATCGACTCTCGACTCACACAGACACCCATCGACTCTCACAGACGCCCATCGACTCACACAGACACCCATCGACTCACACAGACACCCATCGACTCACACAGAAAACCATCGACTCTCACAGACACCCATCGACTCTCACAGACACCCATCGACTCTCACAGACACCCATCGACTCTCACAGACACCCATCAACTCTCACAGACACCCATCGACTCTCACAGACACCCATCGATTCTCACAGACACCCATCGACTCTCACAGACACCCATCGACTCACACAGACACCCATCGACTCTCACAGACACCCATCGACTCACACAGATACCCATCGACTCACACAGACACCCATCGACTTTCGACTCACACAGACACCCATCGACTCACACAGACACCCATCGACTCACACAGACACCCATCGACTCTCACAGACACCCATCGACACTCACAGACACCCATCGACTCACACAGACATCCATCGATTCACAAAGACACCCATCGACTCTCACAGACACCCATCAACTCTCACAGACACCCATCGACTCTCACAGACACCCATCGACTCTCACAGACACCCATCGACTCTCACAGACACCCATCGACTCACACAAAGGCCCATAGATGCGCCCTCAAAGCCTCCCACCATCGGGCATCAAGTCCTCCCACCACAGGAGTTACTCATTTAAGTCTGAGTCGAGCTAGGGAAGGCCTTGAACCAGTTCAGAAAATCGCCACTGATGTATGCCGTGAGTGGAAATGGAACTCGAGCTGCCCACCACTCACTGTAAGCACAATGGGCTTCGTATAAAAATAGAAAACGCACTAAAATAATAAAATGCGTTCCTTGAAGTGGGTGCTGCACGGAATAAACCGCAAATAAGTCGCATGTGTGCAGCTCGATTGCGCCCCGGGAGTCGGGCGTGTCCACACGCGGCCCTCCCCAAGAGGGCCACGTGGAGGAGGGGACGGGACCGTGTGGTGGTGGGGGGGTCGTGGCGCTGCTCATAAAGAAGAAGGGTAATTACGGGTCGGGTTATCTTCAAACGCGGCTCAGCTCCACCCCGGCTCCGGCGAGACTCGACGCCGCGAGCTATGGAGGGTTCTTTGAAAGGAGGCGCCGCTCGCTCGCTCGCTCGCCCGCCTGCCCACATCCCCGGCGGCTCCCACCTCCCTCCCTTCTCTCCTCGCTCGCTCGCTCTCACTCCGCCTGCACCCTGCTGCACGCTCCGTACTCCTACTCCCCAAGTCTTGCGTCTGCCCCCACATCCTCCCTCTTCTTTCGTGCATCCACCTCGTCTCTCTCGTCTGCTCCCTCCTACTCTCGGGACCAGCCGATTTGTTCATAACTGAGACGTGTCGGTTATAGTACGTCAGTCTTAAAAATAAAATATAAATATGTAAGTGCCGTTTCGGGTAATGACCCTTCTTCATAGCATATATATTCTTTTTAAGACAGGGTCATTGACGAATGTGTTGAGCATTTTGCTATTTGTACAAACTACCAACCCAGCAATATGACATCACGTGTTTGGTTCTGAAAACATCTCAATCGCGACGAGATTAAAAACCTCCTCTCTCCTGCACACTCCGCCATTCTGCTCAACATGACCCCACTCCACCTCCTTCCTACAACCTCCTCCACCAACTGCATTCTCGTGCCTCCAACATCCTCCACCCTCCTCCTCCCTTCAACGGCACTCTCATCACATCGCTTATTCCCCTTTTCTCTCGTTATAATACATCAACAAAGACCCATATCGCCCTATAGTCCTGAAGCAGACTGTCGGGGCAAGTGCTTTTTGCGAACACCTATGAAGCCCAGCACGGCACACCCGGGGTTGGGGTGGCCATCACCACACCCGACTGCCTTTGTCTCTACAGTGGCGATGTTTATACCTGGGTATGTGGCTGTATGCACACTGTTTACACATCGCACGAGGTACTCATGAGACTGAGTCGACCTAGCGGAGACCCAGGACCGGTTTATATATTCGTCACTGATATTGGCAATGGGCTGATCGAACTCGTGTCACCGGGTTCATAGCGCAGTGCGCTAACTTTTCATGTTCACATATGTGCACTGCGCTCTCCCTCACCCCCATATCTCCCCCTATCTCGCTGTACCTCCCCTACCTCCCCCTCTTGGTGTTCCATTCAAACACAAAAATGGCCCCTTCTCCAAAACACAGCGAGCAGCATTTGATATCGCGTTCCATCCCTCTTCCCCATGCTCCCTCCCACCCTTCCCCGACCCCCTCTGTATAATTGTGAGCGTTTAAAAGGCATTAAATAAAGGGGGTTTATTCGGGGGCAACTGAGCGCTCAGTGCGGCTCCTAATCTGACGCGGCCCGCTGCTCTGGAGGGGCTCGGGGTTTGAGTCGAGATTTAGTTCCAATATGAACATTTAGATACACACACAAAGACAAAGATACGGTGTGTAGCATACACAGGCTGCTGGGGCAGGTCCTGTTCACAAACACTGAATCAGGCCGATACAGCGCACAAGAGCGTGGCGTGGCTAGCACCACGCTCGATCGCCAGTGCTGGATGTGTACTCACAGCACCAGCATCTCGGGCGATGGCGAGCATTTAAAATGGTAAAAATGAACCGGTGTAGCTGTGCAATCGCTCACTCACGCTACTACTGGCGGAAGGGCCTCCACTAGAGCGAACTCTGGAAGGTATTGGTCTCCTCTTCCACGCTCACCACACGTTACCCAGCTACACGCAACCTGCCGATCGTCTGTCGGGAGCCCATGCACTCTGAGGGTTGGACAGGGGCGGGGGGATTTCAGAAACTTGCTCCAATCGAACCGGCGACCTCTGGGTCGCAGGTCCGGTGTTAAAACCATTACACCGCGGCAGCTTCCTTGAACATGAACACCAGGGTGTTCATGTTCAAGGGTGTTCATGTTTTATGTTAAGACGAAAGCACAGATTTATGACGAGAGATGTTCAGATACCACTTGCTATTGACGTCCGTGGCCAGGAGTTAACCCCAGGTCGCCGATTTCGTAGAGCAGAATACTGCACAAAGTGCACTCATCCATCCAAAACATAAATACAGAAAAGGAATATACACGGACAATGCAGCTTTACAGAATCTTGAAGTAAACTTTGTTGGCGAGCACCTATTAAGTACGACACAAGATGGACGAAGAGGCGGGGCCAAAATAATTCCCGTCCGCCTTTGTCTCTCCCTCATGTGCATGTGGGTCGCCTCACGTGAGACGGTATTTACCCGCATTTCCGGGCAATCGTGCCCGATGGTTAAGTGATGAAAGCATCGTGGCGCGGGGCGAATGCACACGCGACACTGATTATGTGAACACACGCACAGCACACGCGATACTAATTACGTGAACAAGTGCGCACGCGCACGTACACACACGTGTGCACACCGAGACACAAAAGCACAACTAAAATCACATACGCACAGAAGCATACACACACGTATACATTCAGCATACATGCACACCAGCACATGCTCACAAGTGCGCGCACACACACACGCACACCTTCTCGCGCATGCAGTGGTCACGAACACCCCCCACACAACACACTGGGCCTGGACCCTCTTGACAGTCTCTGTCTGGAGAGGTGCGATGTTGCGTCAATTAATCGATCTTTAATTTGCCTTTTTTGGCCTAACTTAAGCGTTCGACGCTGTCACCAGACCTGGTCTTTGGCAATGCCTTCGTGAGTTTGACTCTCAAGAAACATCCACCCGGTGTTCTCAAGGTATTCCACGGCGCTCTATTGGACACATTTCCCATCCCGAATGGCAGGAGGAGGGGGGGTATGGAACCGGTCTTGTTCTGCTTTCTCTCTGTGCTGCAATTTACCGAGGTGCACTTCGTATTCACTGGAAAGCCTGTCAACAGAAATGGACAGCGCAGTTCAAGCAAAGTGTTTGAGGCAGCAGTAGTTCGGGAGCTGTTGGATTATGACGGCTGTGCCCTGGAAGCGTACTCACAAGGGTGTGTGCAGCATCTCACGGATAGATCCGCTCGGCTTACAGAAAGTCGTGAGAATTTTATTGTTTTATATTTTATTATTTTATTGTTTCCCTTCTACGTGACTTTACAGCAAGAACCAAGAATATGAATCCCTGCAGTCACGAAAGCTTTAAATCAAAATTTAGCATTAAACTGTTAACAAACGGTATTCAGCTTATCAAGCCGCACCCAGAAAACCCTACAAACATCCAAACGTCGCCATCGGCAACACGCAACTGCAGGTTGTCATCCAGTTCTCAGACCTTGACAGCACACGTTATAACGATGTCAGCTTGGACGCAGAACTGACAACCCGCAGAAGGAGACCCAGTGCGCCATTCAGTCGGCTGCCTGCCCACCCCTCGAACGCGGGCGCACATTTATTCTGCAGCGGTTCTGTTCGCCGACTGTGCGGATATAAGACCGGCTCTGCTTTCGATACCGCAAATAAGACCGAGACAAAAAGACAACTCCACCGCAAGTCAGCTAC